ACTTTTTTCAAAGATAGTCGTGTTATTTTATTATGCTTTGAAGAAACGTGCATAATATTTTGCTCGATGCGCCCTCTTGTGGCCTCAAAGGAGAGAAGCCAAAAGCTTTTTTCCCCCCTAACTGAAATTATTCCTTTTAAATTCGAATATAATTCGAATATTGATCATATTTAAGTAAAAATTTTGAATTTAGTTTTTCAGCCATTTTGACAGCCCTAATGTGAATAACTCAATTTTGACAAAAATGTCAGATAGAACCTTATAATTCCAAGGGGACGATTTGTATAACCAGAGTCTACCTACAAATGCCATGGTCAAACTATGTTTAGTGTAGCAAAACCATGGTTAATTTGGTCAAATGGTCAAAAGAGATGGATTAAAACAGCAGGTGTAATGTAAAGTGTCTCACTCTTCTATCTGTGCTGAGCAAAACGCATTTTTATACCAGGCTTCAACAGGACTTATAAAAGGGCACTGGCTTTTGAAATTTTGATGAAACTGTCTGCTAAGTGTTAGAAAGCCAAGACTCAATCTTCCTCAACCCTCTAAGTACAAAGATATATGCACCAGATCATATTTAGCTTTTCATACATGAGGTTTATAAAGCAGATGGTTCTGACACTGAAATAGGAAATACAACCACTGGAAAGAAAAATGTGCTCATTAGGCCATTTTTTGGGATCTTTAAATAAAGTAACAAGAAGACTTTGTCTCACTTGTGTCATTTAAACAGATCTTAATGTTAATAAAGGGTTGAATGCTCAGGAGATTAAACCATTGACACATGATGGAACAGACAGAACGATTACAGAGCCACACCTTCCCTAAACTGCACTTACATCTCTACACCCTAAAGCACAGTGCGTGTCAGTGCACGCTAAACACCACCCAATACACCATAATCACCACAAAACACACAACTACCACCCTACAGTCATCATAAAGCATAAATCCTGAGATTTTCTCAAGGGTGTGCTTCATCAGTCCTTCTCAGAGGACCAGGCGTGAGAATCTGAAAGGTCAAATATAAAACAATACTTTCTGAAAAGTTCTGGCTCTAAATTCAATTAAACTAAATTCTAATGTGAACTATCTAGTTTTGTCACATCATGAGAGTAAACTGTGTAAGATTAATGAACCATGTTATTTGGTGGAAGGATAGTTTTAACTAATAGTAATAGTTTTGTCATTAAGCATTATTGAAAACTTAGTGAAAAAAGCAGAGCCTCTCATGCCAGGTTACTTGATTGTTACCCATCACTGGTCGATCTGCTTGTTTGTGTAGCATTTCTCAGTTTCTCACAGGCATGAACTTTGAACAAGCCTCAGTCTGGCAAACTACCGCGAGCCCACTAAAGTGTGTGCGTCTGAGACATAAAGACACAGCGCCTCACAACAGAAATCAGTGCAGCTTCATTAGAGAACAATCGCCTCTAAACGCAGGGGTCAGGATTTTCCCGGGAAAAGAGGCCGGGTGTCACGCCAGAACCCATCTGCGGCTGCACGAGTGCGTGTGGATTGTTATTGTGACATACGTCTTGACACACATTCACCTCAGCCGCTTTTCAGCAACGCAGGAATGATCATCATCTCAGAGAAGATAGAGAAACAAAACAAAGACGAGTGTGAAAGACAAACCATACAAAACAGACAGAGAAGGTGAAAAGGTTTAGGAATCATACTCAATAAGAACAGCATATCTATATATACGTACATTTACTTCGTTCTTGTGATTTTGGGGTGCAATATGACTGAATAGTTTGAGCTGTGATTTTAGAGATGTTCGAGACTGTGGGAAAGAGAATCCAGCCCCCCGTCTGACAATCTGCCCTTATTAGCATATTAATACCCCACGGATCAGGCCAACACAAAACCCCTGTGGAAGGGGCCGCAGAACACAGCTGCTGATGAGAACGCTTCCCACTGAAACGAGTGAAAGAACGGTTTCATCAGTTTTGCCATTCCTCCCTCCCTGATGCACGTTAAGCACAGAGAAGTCATTGACGGTGTTCACGTGTCAGGAGGATCTGATTGGGCACCATATGCTGTCACGGCTTACAGTCTGTTCGGAAAGACTTAACGGCAGTTTTACTCTGACCCATACCTGCACCTAAGACACTGATCCCAATCACTGGGAGTCTGTTCTCACAAGACATAACTTATCTTAATCTGGTCAAAAACTGCCGACTTCGACAGGAAGAGGCCATCTGACCTACATGGAAGAAGGCCAGCCACAGTTTGATTTTCTCACTTACTTGCTACAAACCGTCTACACACAGATCTTGTGAGACTATGTGATCCCCGGAAGAAAGCTTTGTAAATTTTAAAGATACATTTATCAGGTGCACATTTTCTGATCAAGGGCAACATTTTCAGTGACTAAATTGAACAGAATTTAAAAAAAAAAAAAAAATAGTCCTTGCATTGACTTATACCTGGACTTTAAAGTGGACTCAAACTGCTTTATAGTTGTGAATTACATTCACACTAATGTTTTTAGGAAGCCAAACGATCTGAATAGTAGTAATTATATCTCTAAGAGAGAAATACAAAAAAATGAATATTTCACAGTAAGTATATTAATCATTTAACTTCGCACTAAACTTGTAAGACGTCTATGTTAAAACTGTTAAAAGCCAGGATACTACAGGCAAACACTGGTATTCACAAGGGCAAATACAAAGCAGAAATAAGGGCTGTAGAGCCTAGATTTGTGTGAATTGAGGAGCAAGCTTTTAGTTTTTGTTTTCTTCGGTGTACAATCTGCACTAATACTCTCTGAATGTAAGAGAGGAGAGATGATGTTTATGTCAGTTTATATCTGCGCCCCAGCTCAGTGCTTTACTGTTAAAAGACAAAATATGTAATGTTATTGGTAACTGCACTTAATAGTGAAATACAAGGTTATTAGTTTCTGTCCTTATATTTTTCATCTTATAGGCACCAATCAAACCAGGTCCAGGTGCCCCATCTATCAAACTGATAGATGAGAACAGAGAAGGAAATACAGGAGAGTGTCATAAGGCCAAATAAACTGTTGCTAATGTGTGTTTTCATAGATCTGTAGGAGTGTGCGTCTCATACCGCGTGGCAAACATGGCCCTGAGCGAGGAGAAAGTGGCTGCGTCCTCTTTTAGGGCTTTGAGCTCGTTGCGAAGCTTCATCATGGTTTCAGTCACCATGGCCTTTTCGTTCTCATATTTGCTCTTCAGGTTGGCCAGCGCCACCTCAGCGGTCTGGAAAACAACAACAAACACACGGGCAATTAGCAGCTTGTTAATGTTAATAACGTCTTAATATCTTCATGCCTTATAGTCGCCAGTTTTGGGGGTAATGCTTTATAAGTATAATCAGATCACTTTTAAATAACAAGTAAAGTAACACATTACTTTTAAATTTACAAAGAAATAGCTGAGTTACTTTTTCAAATAAGTAAAGCAAGTTACTTTTACGTTTTGCTATATATTGACTGACGCCTCTCCTGTCCCCATGCTGAGAGAGATCGGGAGTGAGGTGCAGACGCACTTCCTTCAGACGGAGGCTTATTCATTTCACTTCTGGTGTGAAAGGGCCTTTACAGTTACCAAAAATATAACTTTTGGGTTATTTTTTTGTTATTAAAAGACAAATAAGCAAGCCCAGCCCAGGTGACAAACAGTAACGCAAAAGAAACGTAATGCATTACTTTCCATAAAAAACAAACAGCTTCTTCAAAGAGTCATGAAGGAACACTAGTTAAGAGCCACTGCTGTAATGCACCAGTGTATCAGTGTAGCGATGAGGGGGAAACGCTGACCTGTTTGTTGGCCTTCAGGACGGTCCTCAGCGTAGCTATCTGCTCCCTCTTGGTGCTGAGGAGCGATTTGAGTTTGAGGATCTCCTCCACGCTGGCCTCCTGGTCTCGGTCTGCCCCGAGACCCAGCTCCAGGGAAGCTATGCGCTGGCGCGAGAGCTCGGTGGTGCGGTCCACCGCTAGCTGCAGGTGTCTGATCTGGTCACGGATGATAGCCACCAGGTTATAGATGTTCATGGGCTCTTTGCGGGGATCAGGCACCGGGGACGGGACGGAGGAGACCGGAGACGAAGCTCCGTCGCTGGGGAAGAGGCCGCGGGTCAGCAGGATGGGAGAGCGGCGTCCGCGACCGTCAGGGCTGCCCCAGCCTGTGGTCTGTGTGCCATTAACGCCAGCCTTACCTTCGCGGTAGTAGTCGAGCATGATGCGGTTCGGCGTTTCGTTGTTGCACATGCATACGTGATGGTAGAGGTTGGCTAGCTCCTCGCTGAAGGTGGCAAGCTCGTCTTGTGCGATGTTAAGGCTGCCCTGGGATTCGCCTGCCACTTCGCTGGCTTGACGGAGCTCTTTCTCGAGCCGTGCCAGCTGCTCGCGGTCGGCTCTGCTGCTGCGCTCCAGAGAAGAGACCTGTGTGCTTAAAGATGCAACCTGGCTCTCCAGCTGCACCCGCTCCTCCTTATACTGAGACTGACAGGCTGAATGTTCTGCCTTTAACGTTTTGAGCTCCTCCTTCAGTTGACTCGCCTCAGACACAGCGACCTGTGGTACAAACGAATCAGCATGCAACATCACTGTTGAACTGTGAACTGCTTCACTGTCTAAAAAGGCAGGACCTTTTAAGGCAGCATCCTAAATTAAATGGAAGCGAAAAACAAAAATGACTGATTTGAAATGCTTTTCTAGATGGCCATTATCTTCACATTCTTCACAGGAGAATCAACTCACACTTGCAAATGATTCCAATAGAGTGTGATGTTAACATTTTTAACAGGAAACATCAACAAAGCCAATATTCACTGGTCTGAAGGAGTTACATTCATTGAAATAGATATGCAAACCACAGCACTGGCACATAAAGTGAGATTAATTCCATAAAGTGCATTTGTATTATTTAAAGGATTATTATGAAATAAAGTTCAGTGTTTGCATTTCCCTGGACATTTGATTCATTTTGAGGAACACAGAATCTATGTTTTGTGATTTGAGAAAAGAGCAGCTGCAGAAATCTGCTCGACTGGTGTCTTATACAAATGTCAATAATGCAGAACAGAGACAAAAGAATATCGATAGAGATAAACTTTGCACTTTATATAATGTGAATGTTTGTGGAATACTTCAGGTCAACAACTCTCCAATCATGGGTTATGTCGTCTGTAGTTCAAAGGGCCCTTTTCTTTCAGCCTTGTGCTCAAAATAAGAACAAAATACATTGTACACAAAACAGTCCATTTTTAATTGGATACTTTAGGCATTGAATGAAAATATATTTATTGACTGGTTCACCATCTAAGATTTCGATTTTTTTCTTCACATCTTCTGCCACAGATGAAAACACCACATAAAAATATCTATGAAAAAAAAAAGATATTTCTATACCTTGTACTTGCACTCCAGGATCTCGGGGCCGTTGATGTCCACCTCATAGTATTCACTGTCCTCGTGGCTGTCGCGATCCTTCTCATTGTCCAGAGCGGACTGGCGCTCTTTGCTGGCCTGGAGTTTGCGGACGGCGTTGAGGTTCTCGGTGAGACGGCTGACCTTCTCGTGCTGCTCAGATAGCGCTCCGTGAGCCTGCTCCAGCTGCTTCTGAGACTCCTGCAGGGTCGACAGCAGCGTCACCTTCTCCCGCTCCACCTGAATAACAGACAAACACACACGCGACGTGTATCTTTTCAATCGGTTTGATCCCACAGTGTCATTCTTCTTCACTCAGCCGAGTCTAATGCCGTCCACTCTGATTTCATATAGGTTGCATTGTTGCAAATGTTTACGCCAAAAGCCTGACTTTGCACACCAGAGGAAAATAATTTCAGTGAGTTTTGAGTTCTTGCATTAGGTATTGCAGGACACATGCATGGTTTATTCTACAGGTTTTGTGAAAGTAGTACATTTAAGACTTTCTAAAGACCTTTTAAGACCAATAAAAGAAAATGTAATGACTCATTTAAAGATCTCCATTACCCTTTAATTACTTGTGTAAAAAAGACCTGCAGAAACGGGCTGAAAATCTGCAGTATACTTCTTTATAATTCAGTAAAAGCAGAACTTCCTTCAAAAGCACATTTGCTCTACACATGAATTACAGGACTTGCTGAAACAAGCAGTGGTGTGTGATCTGCTTTAACCTGTACTGACACACCTCATAGGGGAGTTGGAAAATGAGCCTATTTTCAAAAATAGTGGAGTGTTCCTTTAAAGTAAATTCTAGGGCTGCCCTCGACTAAAGATTTTTCTGGTCGTTTATTTTAAGCATTAGTTGACTAATCGCATGTTTAAAACCATTTAAATCATGCTAATAAGCCTTTAATTGCCTACAGAGCCTAATAAGCGCTCAAGCACACGCAAAAAGCTTGCGACAGCACACCGGCAGAAGTAATGATGATGAATGTGTCAGAGAAAAACTGTAAGATTAAACTGCATTAACATTTTAATAATCTATTGATAAACTAGTGTTTTCCATGTTTTCGGCTTAAGAGATGAAGTCGGCGACACTGACTCGTCATCTCCACAGTAGTGATACGCCTGCATGCAAGTTTCATACGGATTACATAATCTGAGAATATTTGTTTTTTTCAGATTTGAATTGTTTCATTTTCATTTGAAAGTAGACATTTCACTCTCTATAGATATATTTTTCATGTCTGTAAGGAAACTATACACTTCGCGCTCAAGTTTCGTGCATCCTGTTTGCTTTCATTATTTTACAAAACCGCGATGTTTTGTTGTTATAGTGAGTGCACACAAATAAACGTAGAGGCTTTACAGATTCTAAAGATGTATTACTCTTATCTGAATGACCAAAAATGATGGAGTATTTTAAGAGCAAGTGACCGCACCGGCGCCTCCATCTGTCCTGTGAGCGCAAACATTAGATTGAGCGGCCATGTAAAATTGCTACTTACATATTTCAGGTGATAAGCCATATTTGAGCTCGATGAATGATAGGCGAGCGTTTGGATGTACTGTATTACCACAAAATCCAGCCGTTAACGATCTGTCCGTGACCTCACCACTTTTTTTTCTGCGACTAAGCAACTAATAAAATTTTGGTCGACCAAGCCTCTTCTCGTTGACTAAAGGTTAGTCGACTATTAGGGGGCAGCCCTAGTAAATTCATTCTCAAATGGAGATAGAATTTTTTTAAGGGGTTTCATGTTACTGAAGAAAATCGCTTGTAATAAAAAATGTATGCAAAAATAGAAGTGGTCACTACTGGTCACAGAGGTTTGGGTGTTTTGTTCAATTGAGAAATCACATCATCTGGTTTATTGTGTCTGGAATGATTGCTTGATTGATCAATAGCAGTGTTCAAAGGTCACGAGGGCTACGTGAGGCAGCCTGATTACCATAATGGCCAGAAGGTGCTGCTGGCTGCAACAACACTCTCATATTGCTCCTATTATATTATAATCATATTGTTCGCCCATATTGCAGCAAACATCTCCGCTGGACACTGCAGTATGCATGGAGACGACTCGTTAGAGGTCAGAGTTTCTAACTTGACTTCCTGACAGATGGCTGAACTGACAGCTCACCGTGTCAGATGAGGCGGGCGCTCAATGCAACTTCCACTAATAGGATTTAAGCAGCCCAGCTGTCAGCCAATCAAACACAGAACTACACACTATGCATCGCACTGACTTGGTATATTATAAACGTGCCTCCACAGTATGCCACATTTCTGCCTTTGGGTTTGTCTTATTTTTTTGGCAGATATCGTAGCCTAACTCGGCTGAAATGACGGTGCCTGACTGAACACAGTGAATACGGTAAACGGATCAAAACAGCTTATCATCTCACCTGCAGCAGCTGCTGTTTGAGCTTCTGGATCTCTGAGATGTTGAGCTCATTCAGCAGATTGTCCACGAGGCTGGAGGAAGGGTGGAACCGCTCTCCTTTTTTGGGCGTGGAAACACGGTTGTCGTTGTTGTCGATCTTGTCAAAGCCATTTTCATAGATGTGGAGGGGTTCGTCGTTGTTGGGCTCGATTGAGGTGTCGTCGCTGAACTTCAGCCCATCGAGGGAGATGCTCAAAGGACTGTGGTACATCGAGTCTCCGATGGTCATGTACTGCGACAACTCCTTTCTTAAGGCGGCCTGGATTAATGGAGCCCAACAAATATCATTAAATCAGACCTCAGGGTGGACTGGCAGACGCCTACAGCAGGCTTTATCTGATACAAACACTTTCAGAAGAAACTGCTAAACTCCCTGCCATAGTACTCGGGTGCTGTGGGTGGTTGCCATGGCCTTGATATTTGGTTTCTAGGGTGTTCTGAGTGGGTTTTAGTGTGTTACTAAGCAACTACGGAGGAGTTCTTGGTGGTTTCAACCACCCTCAAGTCAAGTCCTTCAATGAAAATCTATAGGACTGTTTTTCTTGTGTTAACCAAAAACGTCCAATAACAAAAAAGTAAATGGCACACGTAAGTTGCTCGTAGATGGAAATGTGCAATGTTTGCATTCAAATGATTAGAAATGTGCCTAAAAATGCAAAACATTTAGATAGTGAGATCCCAAGGGATTTTTTTTCTGATTCCACTTAATGATTCCAGTTCCTTTGAGACTGCATTCATGAAAGCACCCCACCCCCACAATAATAGGGCCCATACTACAATCATTTCACATCGTCAAGTCCATTTTATTTATATAGCGGTTTACACAGTGTCCATTGACAGTTATACGAGTTTAGTCCAAAATGTATGTTTAGTATTGTTTAAAAAACTAAGTATATTATGTATATAATATTAAGACTTCATATTTCATAGTATTATCAATTTGACTGCACTGACACTATTGGACAAGAACAAAACTGAACTGAACTGAATAATGACACTATTGCTTTCAGTATAGCTGCTGATTGCTGAATTGAACCCGTTTTAAAAATTGATGAACTTTACACAGTTATTGAACTGAACTGAATCAACACTGAACTGACTTGAGCTAAATAATGACACTATAGTCTTTTTAGAGCTGCTTTACAGCATTATTTTGATTTGCCTCGTATTTGAGGCAAAATATAAAGTTTGCATCATTAATTGTTACTTTTCCCGTTTATTAGAGTGAAGCTTCTTTGAAACAATCTCTATTGTATAAAGAGATATATAAATAAAGGTGACTTGACTAGCGATGCAGCAAAATTAAGTTTTTTACCAAAACACAAACATTTAAGCTGCACACAAGGCAATAACTTTTTAATGATATAACTAAGTTTTTACAGATTTAATCAAACATATATTAAATAATGAAGACAACAGGTTAACCGCAAATATAATGAATGTGTAATATACTGCATACATTTTGAAAAAAGTTCCTATCTAGACTTTTTTTTTTTTCTAGTTGATTAATGAGTTTATAGTCATTGAACCGCTTTCCTGAGGTAAAAGTAACAATATGTGACACACTATTTATAACTCCCTCCAACACCGACAAGTCTCACCAGCCTATGAATACTTTTGACTGATTCGGTAAAAAGAACCAGCTCATGATGCTCAGTCACCTGTCAAGACAAGTCACCTTTATTTATATAGCGCTTTTAACAATACAGATTGTGTCAAAGCAACTGAACAGCATTAATTAGGAAAATAGTGTGTCAATAATGCAAAAATGACAATAGTCATTAACCTGTCAGTTAGACTACACTGGCAGGCTCTATGTTTGTTGGTGAAAAGACAATGTAAGAAAGACAAAATTTCGTCCTCCAGTATTCAATCGTTCCCGTATTTATTTATTTTAATGGAACCTGTTTTTGATTTCCAGCTTAACCTTAATATAATATCTATAATAATATCTAGCTGTAAATAATAATAATAATAATAACATAAAAAAGAAAGAAAATCATCTCTTGCCTTCTGCTCCCTCTCAGTCTTGATGGTTTCCAGCGCCTCCCCGAGCTGCCTCTCTGCGATCTCCTTCAGACGGATGGCGTCTTCCAACTGGCTGTTCAGAAACTGGGTATCTTCCTCCAGACGACGAATTTCATGTTTCAGACCCTCAAACTCAACCTAGAAGATATCACACACACGCTAACTGTGACTAATGCCACATTTCCACTGTCTCTAGTAGAAACTCCACTGATGGAACTGATATTTAACACGGATGGCTGATGCAGCTGAATGTCACCTGGCTCTGTTTTAAGACAGAAACATGCTTCTGCAGGGTGATGTTCTCCTCCTCGAGTTCGCTGTAGTCCTGCAGCAGACGAGCCTCTCTGAACTTGAACTCCTTGATGTCGTCGCGCAGACGAGATCTCTGCAGCTCCACCATCTGACTGCTCTGTAAAACAGCAGAAGCAGCTGCTCAGAAATACAGTACAGCAGTATTGTGAAATATTACACAAATTTAAAACAGCTGTTTTCTGTGTGAATATATTGTAAACTGTAATTTATTTCTGTGATGCACAGCTGTATTTTCAGCATCATTACTCCAGTCTTCAGTGTCACATGATCTTCAGAAATCAGTCTAATATGCTGATCTGCTGCTCAAGAAACATTTCTGATTATTATCAGTGTTGAAAACAGTTGTGCCACCCAATATTTTTGTGGAAACTGTGATACATTTGTTTTCAGGATTCTTTGGTGAATAGAAAGAACAGCATATATGTGACCCTGGAGCACAAAAGCAGTCTTAAGTCGCTGGGGTATATTTGTAGCAATAGCCAAAAATACATTGTGTCGGGCAAAATTATCGATTTTTTTTTATGCCAAAAATCATTAGGATATTCAGTAAAGATCATGTTCCATGAAGATATTTTGTACATTTCCTACCGTAAATATATCAAAAATGTATTATCATTAGTAATATGCATTGCTAAGGACTTCATTTGGACAACTTTATCAATATTTTGATTTGTTTGCACGCTCAGATTCCAGATTTTCAAAAAGTTTTGTCTCGGCCAAATATTGTTCTATCCAAACAAACCATACATCAATGGAAAGCTTAGCATATTTATTCAGATGATGTATAAATCTCACATTCAAAAAAAATTGACCCGTATGACTGGGTTTGTGGTCCAGGGTCACATATTTGAACTAGCAATTTCTGTAACATTAAAAATGTCTTTACGTCCCCTTTTGATCCATTTAATTTGTCTTTGCTGAATAAAAGTACTAATTTCTTTCAGAAAATAATCTTCCTGACTGACCCCAGCCTTTGAATCAACCCTCTGCTCACAGGGTTGTGAATGGTTGTATGTCTCGCTCTAATCAACCACACTTTTATCCTTTGACCTGCTTGAATCTGTTTATCAGTCCATCTGTACACCTCCGTCTCTATCTCTCCGTCTTTGCCCCATCTGCTGAGCCACACGCAAAAATTCATTTCACTTCATTAATCCCTTCCAGAGGACTGTGCCATTAAACACGGTCTCTTTCTTTTCCCAAATCCTCACTCACCTCACACCATCTGTGGTTTTTATTCGTAATTTCCTTTTAATCCTATATTTGCATCCTTGTTGGTGAATTAGACATTACTGGTCACTAGGGATGTAACGATTCACGATTGAAAATCGATACAAATATAACGATTCACTCAACTCACGATTCGATTCACGGTTCTGATTTCACGATTCGATTTTCTCACGATTTTTTTTTACAAAATGAGACTGAAGATATTATACAGTAAATGAAAAGGTGTTGTTTTATTAAGCTATTGCTGCACGTTTCTTTGTGTTACACAAGTTACACAAATGAAAGAAATCTCTTAATATGAACAAACTAAGGCTTTGTCTGTGCTCTTTCCATTTAAAATTAGAGGCAACCACTGCATTTTAATCATGATCCAAACAAAGATGCAGCATACATACAGCATGAGCAGTTTTTAATCTAATTTGAACTGTATAATTTCGAAATTTGAAGCAAAAAACAGAATGATCTGACTTTAGTGTTGTGAAACTATACATAAAACATATCTGAACGAAACAGCAGACGAGCTGAATGAGACGTAGATTCACTCTCTGCCAGCAGGTGGCGCTCATGAACAGCAATGATACAGTGTTTCCTGGGTTACCGCTGTAAACAAAGCAGCGCTGCACTCATGAACAGCAATGATACAGTGTTTCCTGGGTTACCGCTGTAAACAAAGCAGCGCTGCACTCATGAACAGCAATGATACAGTGTTTCCTGGGTTACCGCTGTAAACAAAGCAGCGCTGCACTCATGAACAGCAATGATACAGTGTTTCCTGGGTTACCGCTGTAAACAAAGCAGCGCTGCACTCATGAACAGCAATGATACAGTGTTTCCTGGGTTACCGCTGTAAACAAAGCAGCGCTGCACTCATGAACAGCAATGATACAGTGTTTCCTGGGTTACCGCTGTAAACAAAGCAGCGCTGCACTCATGAACAGCAATGATACAGTGTTTCCTGGGTTACCGCTGTAAACAAAGCAGCGCTGCACTCATGAACAGCAATGATACAGTGTTTCCTGGGTTACCGCTGTAAACAAAGCAGCGCTGCACTCATGAACAGCAATGATACAGTGTTTCCTGGGTTACCGCTGTAAACAAAGCAGCGCTGCACTCATGAACAGCAATGATACAGTGTTTCCTGGGTTACCGCTGTAAACAAAGCAGCGCTGCACTCATGAACAGCAATGATACAGTGTTTCCTGGGTTACCGCTGTAAACAAAGCAGCGCTGCACTCATGAACAGCAATGATACAGTGTTTCCTGGGTTACCGCTGTAAACAAAGCAGCGCTGCACTCATGAACAGCAATGATACAGTGTTTCCTGGGTTACCGCTGTAAACAAAGCAGCGCTGCACTCATGAACAGCAATGATACAGTGTTTCCTGGGTTACCGCTGTAAACAAAGCAGCGCTGCACTCATGAACAGCAATGATACAGTGTTTCCTGGGTTACCGCTGTAAACAAAGCAGCGCTGCACTCATGAACAGCAATGATACAGTGTTTCCTGGGTTACCGCTGTAAACAAAGCAGCGCTGCACTCATGAACAGCAATGATACAGTGTTTCCTGGGTTACCGCTGTAAACAAAGCAGCGCTGCACTCATGAACAGCAATGATACAGTGTTTCCTGGGTTACCGCTGTAAACAAAGCAGCGCTGCACTCATGAACAGCAATGATACAGTGTTTCCTGGGTTACCGCTGTAAACAAAGCAGCGCTGCACTCATGAACAGCAATGATACAGTGTTTCCTGGGTTACCGCTGTAAACAAAGCAGCGCTGCACTCATGAACAGCAATGATACAGTGTTTCCTGGGTTACCGCTGTAAACAAAGCAGCGCTGCACTCATGAACAGCAATGATACAGTGTTTCCTGGGTTACCGCTGTAAACAAAGCAGCGCTGCACTCATGAACAGCAATGATACAGTGTTTCCTGGGTTACCGCTGTAAACAAAGCAGCGCTATGCTTATGAACAGCAATGATTCAGTTTTTTCTCTTATGAACACTACTTTAATATGCATCGTTCAGAGGCAAGATGAAAAGAAAATACCACAAACTTTTCTAAAGATAGTCTTTATCTCTGAGGGGAACTGACTGTCTTTAGGAAAGTTTAGATGATATTTTCTTTTCATCTCGTCTCTGTATAATGCACATTAAAGTTGTTAGTCTTTGCAACTTTACAGATCTTCTTTATGCACCAAGACCTTGTAACAGTCCAAAGAGAAAGAAAAAATTGAAATTGCATCATATGACCCCTTAAAAAAAAAAATCATGAGAAAATCGAATCGTCAAATCAGTATTGTGAATCAAATCGTGAGTTGAGTGAATCGTTACATCCCTACTGGTCACACTGTGCATTCGTACAGCATTATATAATGGGTTTCAGTCTGTATTTTTCCTCACATTCAGTTTTAACACAGTTTGTGTTTGTTGGGCAGGGTATGGCACGTCCAGTCAGTGGTGTAGACAAAGGCGGGGCTAGGGGACACCGGCTCATCTGGAAAATTGATTGGCCCCCCCCCAGTGTCCCCTGACCTCTCTAAATATAATGCTAACTAAAGCAGTCTTGCTAAAGGAAATACATTTGCTGCTCCCAGTTTCAGATTTAATTTGGGTTTTCCTGCATTTAAATTTTTTGTGAAAGCAACATTTCAGGCCACACAAATGTTCTGTTCTGGCTTTGTTTGAAACCATTTTCATTGGCAAAACAGGAAAAAAACAGACAATATTGTGTCTAAAATGTAACACACTCAATATTAACTTCTTGTTTTTTGAAACTATTGCATAAAGTAATATTACATTTGTGACTGCGCTGACAAACTAACATTCAGGAAAACGGCACTCTTGCTTTTTGTTATTACATAACTACATCATGGCTTTCAAATATAAAAAAACACACACACTTGAATTATCAGAGCATTCTAACTGTACTCTAATATGATTCATCACACAGTGAATGCTTTTGGACTCTCAAGACTGTTTTCTACAAAGTGAGTGACATACTTGATAAAGTGAGCTTGCATATCATTAAAACAACAATTATGAAATTATCATAAACTATATCGCACACCCCTCAACTAATACTTGGTTGAAACACCTTTTGCTATCAAGAGTCCATTAACTGAGCACATCTTGATTTGTCCTTTTTTTCACGCTCTTCCGTAAAGAAAGAGCTCCAGACTGATCATATTGCGGGAGATTTCAAAATCTACTACTAAAGCTTCCAATCACTGTAATGCATTCATCAGCATGTGACCATCCTAACGATCCAGACACAGGCCGTTCAGTCAGAGAGACGCTCACACATACCCCTTTTCCACCACGGTAGTTTGAGTGCTGGTTCGGAGCCAGAGCCTAGTTTCAAATCAGTTCTTTGTCTTTCGACACCCAAAGCACCCAACCAGGAAAAGTGGTTCGTAAGTAGCACCAAAACAAACAGACAAACAGAAACCTTTGACCGCCATTTTTGAAATAGCAGCTAAACACGAACACGTTGGATTCGCCGTGTTTGGATGCCGATGTAGGTTTGCAAAGCCATGAACATCAATAGCAATGCAACGTCCACCACTGTTGATGGTGTGTTTAGGCTCGTTCGGGATGCATCGGCGCTGCGCGGACTGGTCGGTGTGCCGCGGGAGTGATTGGAAAGCAGACGACTCTCTTTATGTTTGGTGCTTTGGTGTTGTGTGCTGATTAGGGATGTAACGATTCACCCAACTCACGATTCGATTCACAATTTTTTTTTTTTTACAAAATGAGATTTTAGACATATTATAAATTAAATGTGTCCTTTTATTATTGCTTGGACAAAATACTGTACGATTCTTTGTGAAATTGATAACACTATAATAATATACTAATATAGCACTTGTAAATTATTGCTCTTTTTTTTGTTGGTTTTGATTGCTTCTATTGTCCTCATTGGTTAGTCGCTATGGATAAAAGCGTTTGCTAAATAACCAAATTTAAATATAATGTAAATGTAAATAACAAAACTACATTTTATTTTATTTTATTTTAAAACAAGCCCCAAATCAAATAAATAAGTAACACAAATAAAAGAAATCTCTTCATATAAACAAACTAAGGCTTTGTCTGTGCTCTTTCCATTTAAAATTAGAGGCAACCACTGCATTTTAATCATGATCCAAACAAAGATGCTGCATACATGCAACATGAGCAGTTTTTAATCTAAATTAGATTGTATAATTTCGAAATTTGAAGCAAAAACAGAATGGTTTGACTTCAGTTTTGTGAAATTATGCATAAAAAATATCTGCATGAAACAGAAACAGCAGACGAGCTGAACAAGACACAGATGCACTCTCTCCAGCAGGTGGCGCTTAAAGTGTTTTCTTGGTTTCCGCTGTAAACTGAATCGCAATTTGTTTAGCATCTCAACCGATTTGAATCGTCACATATTTAAACTGATTTTCAACCGGCTCGCGGTTAATCGTTACATCCCTAGTGCTGATGCATCTTGAACAAGCCTGTTGTGTTTGGCGCTGTTGCTGGGAAAGCGTTTCCTAGCGTTGCTGGGAAAGATGAGACGTATTCAATGACGTAAGACCTGGCTCTATGGTGGCTCTCTAGCCCGTGGAAAGGCAAACCAGTTCTTAGAAGGCTCGCCAGTCGAACCAACTCCGAACCGCCAATAGCACTGGCTCTGAACTAGCACTCGGTTCACGCTGGTGGAAAAGGGGTAACAGTGCTGAAGTGCTTAGACTGACCTCTCGGAGTTCCTGAGTGATGGTGGCGAGCCGTTCGTTCTCTGACTGGACGTTGGTCAGGATGTTACGTGCTTGTCGCAGCTCTGCCTGCAGCTCTTGCATGCGCTGCTCGTAATACGCCTCCTTACACGCTGACTCCTGGATCAGCGACTCCTCGCGGCTCTCGCCGTCAGCCGCCACCTTCCTGTGGTTGGAGTGGGCCTGTCCGAAGGCCTGTGTAATGGAAGAAGGATACAAAGATTAGAGAAAACAAGCAGTATACCATGCAAACTCTGCATCCAAAAGTGTGCTCACTGCAGCACCAAGTCAAGTCACCTTTATTTTCATAGCGCTTTATAAAATACAGACTGTTTCAAAGCAGCTTCACAGTAATAAACAGGACAATAGCACAATTTTTGATGCAAACTTCATCAAATATGAGACAAATCCAAATGTGACAAAACATTCCTTAGATTTAGAACTTAAGTCTGAATGAAATGATCAAGGTTGCTCAGGGTTTTACTTTTAGGATCAGTTTACAATAGGAAAGACTGGAGTCTCAGCCCTTTTATAGGGTACTTGGAGAAGTGTACATGCGGAACATTTCAGGTTTGAGAACTCTCTCAGACCTTTTATTTTATGAGGGTGTGAAGGTGCCTTTTTTTTAATTCCCTAACTTTTGGGTTGATTGATTTCTGGTAGATAGATAGGAAGCTATGGTCTCTATGGCAGCTTTCTGCTGTAAAAATACTGAGTTTGAGATTCTGCTGGTTACAGCTAGAGCTAGAAGAAATCTAAGGAAAAGTTTTGAGCTTTGAGAAATGAAAAAATAAACAAAAACTATAAAAAAAATATATATATATATATATTTAAAAAAAAAAGTAATTATGTTTATAATTGACATAAAATAGCTTATGCCTGTCATTGAGGTCTAAAAGGGGATCCAGCGCTCACTAAGGGGCCTCAGCAAACTTCCAAGGGGGACCTAATAAGCCTTAAAATCATTTCAGATTCCCATCATCATCACTGTAGTATTCCTTGTACCTTTCATTTATGCTAATTTAAGTTTTTAAAATGTATGACAGAATTTTTAAATTCTAACACTGTGCCCTAACTAGACGCAAACAAGGCGACATGATAAAAGCATGTTAATCAGAGAAAATTTTGTTTAAACAACTTTTTTTTAAAAAACAAAACAAAAGATGATAAATTCCTGGAGAAGGCAATCACAGGACTTCACAAAAACCATCTAATCAGTATTAATGATCAACAGTATGTTCTTCAGTATCAACTGTAATGTTCATATATAATATATACTCGCATTTATTAGGGGTGTAATGGTTCAGATTGCTCATGGTTCAGTTCGGTACGGTTCACGGTTTTAGGGTCACGGTTCGGTTCAGTACGGTTCGGTATGTGCTATGTTCAGGCAAAAAAGGACTATGGTCAAATAAAAATAAAGAAAATAATAACAAATAATCAAACTAAATGCAACAGCACAAATAAAAACAATAGAGCAAAGATACAAATCAAATAAACTGTGTTTTCAGGTGTTTAACAGTAATTTTCAGGCCCAGAAATTTAAAAGTAAACAAAATGTAAAATAACAGAGCATATTTCACTGTATAAATTAAAGATCACTCCTTGTTGAAGTTACAAAAGCTATTCAGTCAAGAGAAGAGAGTGATTTCTTTGTCTTTTGTTGTTGAACATTAAAAACACAGACAGCAGGAATAGACTGCTGTTCCTTTAAAGTTGGCATGAAACGGAAGTTGCGATAGCATTTCTTCCCTTCTGTGACGTATATCCGAGTGAAACGGCTTCTGGAATGTAGGGCGGGATTTCAGCCTTCGCCAGGAGTTTGACTGACAGGCGATCTGACCAACAAGACAGAGCAGGTTACTTTTGGAATGAAACTATAAGTCTCAGCTTTCAAAAATTGTTAATTTTTAAACAAATTCAAACTATACATATCATTTTTGTGACTCTTTAATGTGACCTATCGCTGTCAGGTCGCCTCAGTTCTGGTGGTTCAAATGTGAATCGATCTCTTCCTGCTAATTATAGCTCGAAATAAACATGAATAAACATCAGAAGGTATGTCGTCTCAACCGCGGAAGACGTCAATACACCATTTTCAAGTTTGACTCTACTGACGTTAATCTATTAACTTTCCTGTCTGGTTTGTTTGTCGGACAAAACGGTGGATTCGGCATTATGACTGGTCAGATCGCCTGTCAATCAAACTCCGGTGTTAAAAGCCTGGTCATTGGACAGTCAGTATAGTCCAACCCCTACGTACCAAGAGTACCGCGATACGTATTGTGGGTGGTGTATTGTGGTTTTTCGGTTTGGTTTGAATATCGTTACACCCCTAATATTTATATTTAATACACTGGAATAACAAATGCTGGGTTGAAAACGGGAAAAAATAGTTGCTACCCATGTAGGTTGTTTCTAATCTATTTCAGTCAGGATGCTGCCATAGAGAACAGCTGGCCGTTTCAGCTCAGTATGTTTATTGATCCCGTGACCATTCTTCTGAGCTGGCCAGAGGAGGAGGAGGAAGTGTTTACTAAGGCTGAGAGAGTTTCCTGTGAGTTCAGGCACCAGCTGAAGCAACTTTGTTTTTAACAATGCTGCATTTAATTAATTACTTTAGGGTACCCCATGTAAGTACAGTATAGTTTGGCATGGAGGTTTTCCTCTGCTCTGCACATTTAGTATGTTTTCTCTTATCTGACAGACTATGCAGTTCATGGATCTCTCTCCTAATGAGCTGATGATCTGAATCAGGTGTGTTAAATAAGGGAGACACAAAATGTGCAGAGCAGTGGGTCCCCAGGACCAGGATTGAAAACCAATGGTTTAGCACAGTTATCATGTGCGCTTAAACTGTCAGAAAAACACAGGATTCACATAAACACAGTAGGTTATGTCTTGAGTGGGAGAGGGGGAAAAAATGGTATGTTGGATCCGTGCATTAAGTCTTAAGTGAAGCAGCCTAATATATCTGCTGCTGTCCATGCTGTTAATGTGCAAAAAAGAGAAAAATCATTGCTTTTGACTGAATAACTTTTGTAGCTTTAATAAGAATCTAAGTAGATTTAATTTAGGCAGTGTTATTTTTTACATTTGATTCAATTTCTTACTTGAAAGCTATTGTTAAATAGACCTACTGTACCTGAAAAAAAAAAAATTTAAACTGTTTATTGCATTCATTTATTGTATTTAGCCTATTGTTGGTATTCTGCATCTTTGTTCTTATTTTTAATAACAAAGATAAAATAATGAAATAAAATGAAGTGAAATAAGATTTCTTATATTATCCACCCTTTCTTTGGCCTAAATGTCTGTCTTTCTTTATTTCTTTTGTTTTGTTGCCTTGTAGGGCTATATTTTTTAAATTGGGAAATTAACTTGTACTGCTCAGTAATTTCCAAAACAGGCTCAAAAACCAACATGAGAAAGAATCATGATGAGATTGTGAATCATGATCCACAATTTGTGATGTGATATTTTTGCCATATTGCCCAACCCAAGTTCACCCCAGGTTAGGGCTGGGTGGTTTAACGCTATTTACCATGTGATGGTAGACATGCGTCAACTAGTAGAGATTCTGCTACATCATTTATACCGCTGGAGGTGTTTGTGCAGCTCTCAGTGGGCAGAACTTCTTTATGCCATAGCAAAAAGAATACAATGAGGAATGGCTGAAGAAAATCCCCAAAAAAGAAAGATGCTGTTATGAAGGGAAATGTTAGACAGAACATGGTGTTTCTATGGAGTTTATGTTGATTATGGCTTCCTAGTAATGTCACTACTTGCCAAATGATAGTATTCAACTAATTTCCATCAAAGGCGTGTGTACGTCAAATATTTTACAACAGCTTCAATCTGTTTTTACTTTGACCGTTTGGAATTTTTAGGTTTGAACTCGTGTTTAATGTCTTGCTTTTTGTCCATCGAGTTCCAAATAAACACAGAAAATAATCAAATGAGAGGAAGTACATTTGTAAAGTGTTCCAAAACCAAAAACAGGCATTTCCACATGGTTATTTGAAATATAAACTACTTCATCTTTGAATTTCCAGCAAAAATAAACATACTGCAGTATATACTGTAACCCTGATAAGATTTTAGTCATCATCTTGGACAAATGGCATTTAGGAGGGTGTCTAACAGCCGGTACTAAAGTCTGCGCCGGCTAGCTGTTTCTAACCAGCAGAACAAACTCAAACACCTTCCCTTTGGACAGATTTTGGTCAAAATGGCATCACATGGTACATTTCAGGTCTTTAGTGACTAACATAGAGCTGTAAAGCTGATAAAAGTCAAAGGGCTGATATGGATGCCCATACAATCTCTAAAGCTGGCTCTGTACAGTGTTACCCAGAATATCAACTCGTGCTTGAACAGCTGAACAGCTCCAAAACAAACGGTCTATAAACCTCCCACATTGATGGATAACCTGCTTGCTATGTGGGACACCTGCTCTAGCAACAGGACCACTCCTGAGTTATTCAACACGATGACTAATTTAGCAGATTTGTTTTCAATTGCACCCTCAAGAAACAAAGACACACTGTTTGAAAGAGCATGAAGTAAATGCTTTTAGCTCCTTCTGCTATAGGGTGGGACAGCTGGCTTGCCAAGCGCAGCACTGCCAGCATCTAAAGCCCCACTAACCTGTTTCCACTGATTTTCATCATGTGCATTGGAAAAACCAAGTTGGAGTGGGTGCTTGTGACCCTGCATGTCAGCTGTTAAACTTTAACAGACCATTCAAGTCATCTCACTGCTGAATTATGCTGGCTGTTACTGAATAGGCACCCAAATGTTGACGTCCCAAAAATCACATACAGCCATTATGAGAGTAACCCATACGACCCCAGTGGATGGATCAGTGTCTTCTGAAACAAACAAACAAACAAAACCTACCTAATACTAATTTATTCAAGTTTTTTTAAATGATAAACCATACCTTCTAGGCAACTGTCATATACATGTCCACAAGTGGGTTGTGTTTACGTTTGACATGAACACATCCTGACTGTTATCAATGAACAGACAGAGCTGGTAAATGGAGACAGAAAGTGTAACCTTCAAAAATGTCAAAAAGGACCTAAATGTGACAAGAAATTACTCAAGCTCCAAAAAAAAAAAAAAAAATCAGGAAAGTTTTGATCATTGATCGACGATAACAGGCCTGTAGCCAGTCACAACGACGCTTTTTGTTGCTGATTGACCTTCAGCAC